GCTTCTACCTCTGAAATGCTGCCAACCCATGCACTGTGTTTCAAAGCAAAGTCAAACACATTAGTTTAAAGGCCAGCCACCTGCAGTGGAGCAGAACAGAGAAAAAGCCCCCATTAGCCAAGCAACATACTCTGTTGAAGACAGAAACCACTTGTATTAGTTGCTGTCTGCCTGTATAGTGCCTCTCTTCTATCTCTGTGCAAAGTCTAAGGGTTAATTCAAACAAGGTGGCTTGATGCAAGACATCTGCCTTGGTCATGAGACAGGCTGCTTATACAGCGAGTTATCGGGTCTCAACTGAGAGGCAAGACAAAGCAGGTACCTAAACTCTCTCAGCATTGTAACTCTTTAAACTACAACCTTTTTTATCTATATAGAGTAAATGAAAATTTTCATCATGGGCACCAAACACTGCTGTGTTTCATCAACGTTTCCTGCCAGGCAGCACTTACCCATGGATGGTGCAGGGGTGCAGGGGTGCCTCATTCAAGGTCACAGCTGCAGTAACTTGACTGTTAAGAGTGGCACTGTCAATCTAATCTGGAGGCTCCCCAAGGAGCAAATTCTCAATAGATTAGGCTGCTGCTTGGCTTCTGTTACCAGGTTCTGAACATCTTACCCCCAGATTTAATGCAAATAACCCTAACAGCTGGCATAACAAGGAACCGAAGTATACCAGAATTAAACTGTGGCACTAGCATGATGCCTGGTGATTTAGTTACAAATAGGAGAATTAAGATACCTCCAGGTAACACAAAGCCAGCTTTAAAACACTCAAAGTCTGTTTTCCAAGCTTTATATCATCTTGCAACATCAGAGACCCCTCAGTTAGCTTCAAGTTCTGTATCAGTGCTCAGACCAACACACAGCAAAAAAATCTTCCTGCTCTTCTGAAAAACCTCAGCAAAAAAAAAAAAGTAACAGCCAAACAACCAAAACCACTCAGGTATAACTGCACCATGAAGTTTTACAGAACACAGAATTCCTCCTGCCCCACAGAGGGCTGACTCTGAGCTCAGAAGAGGTTTGATACCAACATATTAGAAAAAATTTCATATTCCACAATTTGATAGACTTTGTTGTAGAACATCCTTTCTATTTTCCCACTTCCACTCCTCCAGAAGTTGCATGTTATTAAGTTAGAAAAGCTTTTACAGCTCTGCACTGAAACAAGCAACCATGACTATTTTCAAATCATGGATAAAAGCTCAAATCAGAAGAAAGTGAGGTTGATATAAAAGAAAAAAAGAAAAAAAATGACCTGGAAAATTCAGCTAACAAAAGGTCACCCACTCAGGACTCCCAAAGAAGAAAGAAAACCACAGCAAGCAGCAGGTTACCAGGGAACAACAGAAATCTAGTCAGTAAAGTCTACCTTAAAAACAAGATAAAGGGCTTTACTTTAATAGTGCAAGTGACCTGTCTTAATACACATGAATACAGCCTGAATCCTCGCAAACACATGAAAAACTCTTAAAATCCACATCTGGGGAAGAAAGGATACACTTACTTTTAGTAGAGAAATTCAAAAAAAGGCCCCTATTTATGGTTAAGGGAGCAGACCTGCACAAACAAGCTTACTAGACTGATCACTACAACGAGGAAAAGCGCTGATCAGCATCTGAAACTGCAAAATTACAATGCAAGGCAAGAACAAACTTTTGAGAAAGTTGGAAAGTTGTCACACAGAGAACAGACCTTAATGAAAAGCCCCATTGTCTGGGGTCTTGGGAATCTGCTGACATGAAGGGAAGGAATTATGTTGATGAGTTAGCTGCAGGGTTACTTGTCTGGTAGGTTGAGCCAAAAAGATCATGCTTAAAACAACTTGCAGCATTGACTGAATTCCCATGTTTAAGCCTCTGCCACAAACCAGCTGATAGCTATATAGCACTGTCTGCCAGATTCCTTTATAGCAGGCCTGCTTAGCTAGTTTTATAAAACACAAGGGAAGGAAAACTGTAGCAAAAATACCCCAACCCAATGATAACTGAAGTGTTGGCAGTTTTGACAGGTTTTAAAGAACAACGTAATAATTCTGAACATGTCAAAGGCTGCATCTAGAAACTTTGACATTCCTCTTCACTCTATTAGCTAATTACTTGACAGTAAGTTTGTTTATAAAATGGATATAGTGTTGCACGCCTTATTCTTAAAAAACATGAGGCAGCCGAATTCAAGACCTTCCTTAAAGCTTTCTGTAACTTTCAGAGGTACTACTAACTGCACACATGGAATTAACAGACTTTGCACAAGCTCTGCCTATAGGTATACATGCATTTGCTCTAAAACAAAGAGTAGTCTTAGACACAACCATACAACAGGAGAAATACATACATTTCAGCTAATTAGCAAAACTGAAGACCTTACTTCTATTATGCTATTACAAAGCATGTTTGAAATTTCAATCTTCTTATTCATTAGTGTCCTTATTTTGTAAAACAGCAAAATCTAGAAGCAAACATAGCAGCCTAAAACTTGTAGAGCTCTTACTGATCAGTCAATTTTTCACAATTCCTACAAAGTGGATTAATATTTTTCTAAAGACCTTTCAAGTGGCCAGCTCTAAAAGAAAATAAATTGAAAATAGAATAAAAAAAATAAGTTATTTATAAAGACAATTACTCCACAGCACTGGCATTTTCTAGACTTGTTTGACTAACACTTACTCTCTGCAGGTGGGGGGGGAAATCTTGAACTTTAACGAAGAAATAACAAATAAATCTATGCTTATATCTGTCCAAAGGAGAGCAGTTAAAGGAAACGGGAAGAATTTCAATAAATATCTGAAGCCTGTATAAGTTTCTGCATACCGCTATCCTTGGAAAACCTCAGGCTAGCTAATGAAAAAGTATGCAGTAGCACGGACTAGCAGAAGCCAAATGACCCAGCTAATTAGAGCTTACGCCCCTATTTAAAGAATAATGTATTTGTCCATTCCTGTCCCTTTTCTAAAAGTGCACCTTCACCACATTGCAACAAACCTCACCTTCATTAATAAAGAACCAACTGAACATTTAAGGGGGAGGTTTGAAGGTACTGGGTAGCAGAATAGATCTACAAATGGCAGTGTGCTAGGCAAAAGGACTGTGCTCCTTGCTTCCAAAAGACTGTCAAGAGAGTTAGTTTATGACTGATTGCTATAAAAGGCATTAAATTGGTGAATCATGGTGTGGGAGAGGGATCGTAATAAGATTATATATGTCTTAATTAAATCCTTCATCAAATTATGACAGTCTACCAAAGAATAAAATATGGGGCGAAAAGACCAAAAGAATCAAGTATTCTAACATTAAGTTCTTACAATGTATCCTTTTTTTATCCAAAGTATAAAAACACTCAAGAGGAGCTTCTGGAAGTTCATCTTCCACAGTAAGAATTATTTACTAGGAGGTGGTGAGAAACTTGTTGCTGAAGTGAACCTGTTGCCCAGAGAAGCTGAGGCTGCCCCATCCCTGGCAGTGTTCAAGGCCAGGTTGGATGGGGGTTTGGGCAATCTGGTCTAGTGGAAGGTGTCCATGCCCATGGCAGGGGGTTAGAACGAAATGATCTCTAAGGTCCCTTCCAACACAAACCATTCTATGTTTCTATAATAACAGATTGTATTTTATTTTATTTTATTTCTCTCCATTGCCAGTTCAATGAAGAGAGCCTTAAAAAAAGAAGAAAACAAACAAAAAAAAAAAAAAACAACCACCAAACAAAAAGAACTACTCTGAAGTTTTCTTCTTGTCTAGCACAAGTCTACAAGGTGTGACCAATACAGCACTAGAAGTAACAGCAAGTTACTTGTACTGTCCAAGTAGTGCTTCTAGTAGTCCAAGAGGACTTCTTCCTATCCACGATTATGCCATTTAATAATGCATGAGTTGTAAAAGATGTTGGTAGAAACAATAATCAAGAGAACATTAACTGTTAGAACAAACAAGCCCTCTGACATTTGAAAGCTGTCCCACTTGAAATACAGAACTAAAACTGCCTTAGGATCCCCTCTGGGGAAGTGACAATTCTATCCATAAGGAACCTGTAGGGATGACAGTCACTAACTGGTGCAGAACACCTAGTATTCTCAGCCTTCTGCACAGAGACAGGAGGAAGTTGAACACAGGGAACCTCACAGCTCCTGCTTTCCCAGCTGCCAGGAAGAGCACAAACCTGTGAACTCCAAACGCTCTTGACAGTGCAGATCAGGCTCTGTGTCCTCTGCTTTTTAGCTACCTGCACCTATCTTTATCTTCCCTTCTGTCTCTTCATTCCTTCTTCACCACACTTTCCCCTCTTCCCGTCTTCTTGTTTCATTTGTCCCCTTGCTTCACACTTCCACATCTGCTTATCCTTTCATTTATTCCATCATTAAAGTGAGGCTACAGTAAAAACTATAATTAAAATTACTTCCAGCAGGGTCACATTCAACCTGCATCCATGGCATTAATATCCAGCTACAGGATTCCACATCTGGCCTGGATACAGACAGAAGCCACAGTACGAAAATTGCCCATGATGCAGGTGCCTCAGCTGCAGAACATGTCAAAGCCAACTGTATGTACAAAGCTTACAGAGTTGACACTCTTGCTTTCCTCCTCACTCTGCCTTATTAGAGCACATGTTCTTTTGAGGCAGTGATTTCTGACTACCTGTTTTGCATGCATAGTATAGTCAGGTTCCATTATAATTCTAAAACAACTACCATGAAGAACAAGTCATATGGCAAGCAACAAACTTTGAAAATTTGCTCTAACTTACAGTTAGCCAGAATATTCTTCCCTTAAAAAAAAAGTCTGGCCTGTCTCTGGATTGTGGCTTTTTCCTCAAAAAAAACAAAAAAGTTGCACTCTGAGTTTCACTTTCAGGACTTTCAAAAATCTTGTCTGTTCTCTACTTAAGAGAGGTTTGAGTGAAGGGAACAAGGACTCCACAGTCTGACTGGAAAACAAGACAGCATTCATTTCTTCCAATTATAATAATTTCTGACAGTTTGAACGTTAACATTTCACCCTTACCTCAACTTTGCTTCCTGGATCATGCTCTGCGGCAGCAAAGTAGACCACCTCCTGTACTTCATCCCTTGGCCTTGCAGAGTTCTTTCCGAACACCACCAGCCCATCTTTAGAACATGGGGGGAAGGCTACAAAACAGTAACTTGGAGGAGCTGCAGCCATCCTGAAAAGGAAAGGAAGAGTAAACAAAACTAGTGTTTGCTGAATTCATAACTGCATGCATTAGAGAATCACTCAGTCTACCGCTACTTATTGCAGCTAAGAGATAACGCATTCCCTCTATCTGTCACTTGATTGTCCAATGATAATGAAAGATTAGCTCACAGGAAGCTTCTCTGGATTTAATAAAATAAAAAATAATAGCAATTTTCAGACATTTTCCAGCCAAGGCTTGTGAAGGAATAACGAAGAGTGAAAAAGATAGCTGTACCTTAAGAGCCTACTCAGCCGCCACACAAGGAAGATATTCTGCACCAGAGCTGTTCAGGAACACATGACCTATATGTATTCTGCTGACTCAGACAAGTGCAGAGACACAGAATAAATAATTTACTCTCTGCTCCCATGCAGCTTGGTATTTTAAAAAAGGAAAGAGAAAACAAGTTTGAGGGATTCCTGAAGGAGGACAATGGTGTAACTGGAAACTGAACAAAGATATAACACAATTATATTAAGAACTGTCAATTTATCTACTCAGATCAGAGAGAGCCTGAAGCACTAACTGCACTTTATTTTGTCTGTGGTTTGCCTGCATTGCTGCCCTTACCTAAAGCTAATTGATAACTGATTATTTGTTTATGCAGGCTAATGTGAATATTCTTTAACGTGCTTACAGAGTAGCACAAATGTTTTAAGATTTTAAGTTTTTCCAATGACAACATATAAATAAAAACTTTAAACTGTTTCAGGATTACAACACTATAGTAGGAAGTCTTGTGTGTATTGCCGTATCTGCTATTTTTTCCACCACTCAGGAAAACTTCTGACACATTTAAAAACAAACCAATACAGTTAAGATTTCCCCCTCAAAAGCTGCTAATTTATTTGAAAGACAAAGATGGGGGGGAGGGTGTGGAAAGCTGCTTTGATAATTAACTTGCACATCTTTCAAACCATTCAAATTGACCTTTTATTTTTATTTTTTTTGAGCAGTACCATTTCAGCACACACTTCTCACAGAACAGCAGGCCTCCCATATTAACCCAAAGAAAGAATACCTTTTGGATTAAGGTGATAACCCATAAAGTGGTAATCGTTTGGGAAGAACACACTTAAAAGTTTGCCTATAGATTATGAACAGATCACACAGATGCCCTACCTTGCAAAAAACAACTTCAAGAGAAGACGAGGGTTAAAGGCGCTCTCTACCAACACAACGTGGCATGATGACTTGTCTAGAGAACTGACATGACTTTTTAATTTAGGTAAGATTATATATAAGTTGCCATTCGAGTTCGAAGTGCATTAGGAAAAAAACCAACCCCTTTTTATAAGCAGAGTTTTGAACAGTGAGATAGGACAAGCTACTATGAACTGGAATGGCTTCAGCTGAGAGAATGCATCCAGCAGAGGACACGTACCTGCAGACTTGGGTATTTTACCATTGTCAGTATACTTGTTTTAGGTAAGTGTCTTGCAGACAGACATGAAGACAAAGTCCCACTTCAATTACCACTCTTACCACTTCTGAGTCATCAAAGCATTTGTGATTAAACTGAAATGCAACATGTGGAGTTTTGCCCAAGCTTCAATACTAATGAAATCACATAGTGTTTTGTTATGAATTATTCAGAGTATGTACATTTATTTTGCTGTGTTGGCGATGTCAACATAACTGCTTTCCAGCACCCTACGAAGTCACGTCTACCTTCAGATAAGTCATCATTTAGTGCTTTAAATTTGTCTTCTGATGCCTTGCCAGACCAGCCAAAATCCTGAATAACTTGCAGGCTTACTACAGATCTCAGTACTCGAAAGAAATATTTTCTTTATTCTAAACACTAACTAAGTGGACGTATTTGAAATATATAAGGCAGCTGAAATACATTAGACACCCAACAGCCTAGAGAGAAAGTTTAAAGTATTAATACTAATTTTTATTACATGAAGTTGTAAATAGGCTTAAAAAGATGGGAGGGAAAACTTCAGCACTGTATTACTGAACAAATTGGAAGGTATGCAAGGCAGATTTTCACATACCTACAGACTAAACTAGGCAGAGAAAAAAATTAAAAACTTCTATCTAATGTTCTACAGACTCCTGAAGTCCTCCTTGGAATAAAGCAGCCTCAATTGTACCTATAGAATCATAGAATAGTTAGGGTTGGAAAGGACCTCAAGATCATCAAGTTCCAACCCCCCTGCCATGGGCAGGGACACCTCACTCTAAACCATGTCACCCAAGGCCTCGTCCAACCTGGCCTTGAACACTGCCAGGGATGGAGCATTCACAACCTCCCTGGACAACCTATTCCAGTGCCTCACCACCCTAAATAAGAGGAATTTCCTCCTTATAACCAATCTAAACTTCCCCTGTTTAAGTTTTAACCCGTTATCCCTTGTCCTGTCACTACAGTCCCTAATGAAGAGTCCACCCCTAGCATCCCTATATGCCCCCTTCAGATACTGGGAGGCTGCTATGAGGTCTCCACGCAGCCTTCTCTTCTCCAGCCCGAACAGCCCCAACTTTCTCAGCCTATCTTCTGAGGATTTGTTTTATTTTTGTCCCTTAAATATACCAAGTTACTAAACAAAAAACCAAACTGCCATTTTGGTTAACACTTTTAAAGTATGAAAGTATGAGTAAGCTACACTGTAGCTAGAGTTCAGCATATTTCATGCGGGGATAGGTATATAACAGTTAAACACTGCAAACCTTATACTGAAAACATGACTGTCGTAAGAGTTAGCGCTGAGACCTTAAATCATTTTTCTAGAGAAGGAAGCTAGTTAGCTAGCCATCTACTACAGTTTAACTCTACTCAGTTTGCTAGGTAGCAGTTTTTCCTAGAACCTCATTTGGCTCATTTTCAATATGGTAAGGATGGCAGTTTCTCAGATACACCCGTAGCTTGTTTGTTCACAAAACTACTGAACTTCATCTTTCATCACTTAACTAAAGCAGTCTGTTAGTAGCCGCCTATCTAAGCAAGACATTTCTACTTGCCTACTTAACTTTCTTTTTTCCTTAGTTCAACTTCAGGTTGCCCTCATTCTCAATTTCACACATTTGCTACCCTCTTTGCCCTCTCACAAGGTGCCATCTTGACTCAATAGCGAACAAGCATTTTTCATCTACAAGAAGAACAGAATACTCCTCCTCCACAGTACCTCTGACAAATCAGGCTAATTTACAAAACCACCCACTGTTAATCCCTACTCTTTCTTCACAGATTATTTGCTCCTCCAACGAAAGGCAACCCTGAAAACCTTAGAAAACACTGGGAATAACTGCAAATAGATCTCAAAGAACACCCACTCAAACTGTTCATTACCAAAGCGCTTGTTAGCACACAGGCCTGATTTTCTCAGGCCTACATGTTGGTGTAAACAAAGGTGAATCTACACTGTATGTCAACAGACCCTACATTTGCAGACCATTACACTCATGGATGGGCCACTGCAACTTAAGAGGAACAGGGACCATACAGTCTATATACAAACCCTACATACATTCTACATATGAAAGCAGTAGAAATAGCCAAAGAACTGTATGTTATGGTATGCCACAATGTAATGCTGCTGCAGCTTCACAATAGTTAACACGCACCACACTTGGCTGACCCAGAACCACTTTCCACAAAGGTTGCAAAACCAGCTCTGAGCAACAGTCACAAGGTAATATATTCCACTTGCTATCTTTTTATTTGACAAAAATGTACTGCAGCAGGGATGCAATATTACATGTGGCCATATTTTTTTCAGAGTCTTCTGGTCACTATGGCACTTAGTTTGTGTTCTGACACTATGAAGTTTTGTTTAACAAGTTCCTTGATTAAGTTTGTCTCTTATTGTGATAAACCTCATTTAGAGGCTGCCAAGCCAAATTAATTCTGTGAACAAATAACCATTACTGTCAGTGGTAAAACACATGAGCACTGGGCAACATCTGGCTCCAAACATCACCATTTGAAACAACAGGTATGACAATTATGAGGCCTTTATAAATGTGTGAACATGACCATACTCCTGAAATAGGGTGAACATGTAAGTGCTATTGCCTAGCACCACATCAAGAAAACTAACCCACAGATTTTGATAGACACAAAATACTAATCTTCCAGTTCAAAATAGCAAGATCCAGGACATTTCATTTTAGAGTATTTTCAATTCCACAATATGAGGATCTTACAAATGCCAATGTGTATTAAGACAGGTCACAAAATCTAATTAGAACAACTTGCACTATTAGTGTCAAAATTTGCCTTCAACCAGACTTCTGGAGTGGTTAACAAGGAAAAAAATTGTTATTCTTTAAGTCTGTACATACAGATTGTGACATAATCTAATTAAACCTTCATTTAGATGTCATTTTTCAGTTCTAAAAAAAGGAATATACAAATAGTTCTGTTATAGCAACAGACATGGAGGAAAATTGCAGTACCCCATCCTCCCCTGATGAACACAGCTGTCAAGAGACAGAAGCCACACTCCTAGGAGAATAGGGATGGGCATAAATTATTCAGTGTGTTTTGGAATCTTCCCCCCCCTAGCCCAACCCTGGAAAACTTAAATAGCTGTGTATCCACAGCAAAGCACTCTGAGCTTACCAAGTCAGAGACCAGAGTGAAGACAGGAAGATTTTCATACTGACTTGCTCAAGACCTTTTTGTTTGTTTTTCTGGGTGGGTTTTTTCTCAGAATAACATTATATACTGCTTCTCCCAAAGCTGCAACTTGGTACTGAAATGATCTTTTATAAAGTTCAAGAATTTGACTGCTACAATAACTTCTCAGAAAAGTAACTTCATCGTCCCATATCAAATAGATGTCCTCTTTTCAATCCAACTAATTTTCCTTGTTTGCCAAAACACCCCAAAGATCTTAAGGACAAAGTAGATATTAGTATTATGAAGTTATAAATTATGTGAAAACTGGCTTGCCAATGGTAGCTTTCACAGTTGCTATGTCTTACTTATAGCATTATTTTTTTTTTAATAATAT